TTGTCTGACTACGCTATTGTCATTCTCACCAACTACACGCCATTGGCGGCGGCCATTACCGCAGCTGGGGTGTCTCGGGGGCCGCGACCTGGTCCCTGGTTGCGTCAAGTCCATCCCCACCATCAGGGGCCCTGGTGAAGGGCAGCCTGGGACTTAGACTCCGCGCCCTGAGGGACTTCAGTCTGTTGGTGGTGGTTGTCGTCAGCCAGTGCGTTACCCTGCCACTAGGCCTACCTGTCCGTTCCACAGCCCTGCCCTGACAACACCTCACATTACAGCTTATCACATTGAGGCCCAGCCTGTCCAGCTTATTGTGGCTCACTGATTAGAGCTTTATTAAAATCCTAAGACGCAGGACCTTTCTACAGTATATGCACCCTGGAGATAGAATCACATTAGTGTCTCCTTTCAAGTCTCTATTAATGCCCAAAGAACTTGCTTCTTCAGACTAGCTCACTACCTTGGAGGAGGAGTCCACCTCTGCTAACATTTGCTACTGCCCTTTTTATAATCTTAGTCACTTAAATTCAGCATCACTCCAAGAAAAAGTTTTCCCTTTACTTGAGAGAAACTTGCTTTCACACAAGAAAAGATCTACACCTTAATGTGCAACCAACCAGGGCCCCATCAAGCACACAGAAGATTAGATACTTTTGCTAAAAGATACCAAAATGGGACATTGTTGCTTTTCACCAAAGAATTCACCTCCAGAGTTAAATCCAGTCACCAGTAACTGAAAGCCTAAAAGTGAGTTAGTCTGACAGTTTGATAGTTCCTCCCAGCTCAGTTGGGTAGAGATATCTCAGAGGCTAGGACTGATATTAAATTCTGATCCTGCAGGACATTTGGGAGTTGCTTAAAGTGATACTGTGTTACAACACCTTGTTGAACATTCAAGAGCATATAACTTTTATTTCATGCTCACCCACTGTTATCTTTTTGTTTGCTTGTTGGGCTTCCAAATTGATTATTCTGACTTCAATATAACCAGAATACTTGTTCACCCTAACCTGTGTGTGTTTATTTTATGGCTTTGAGTCAAGGGGAGCCTACTAGTCAAAGGTTTACGGTGGTGTCAGCAGGGGTTGAGCTTTCAAAGCAGGCTCAGGACAGACAGGGAACCCAAAAATACTTAGTGGCTCTTAAGGAGGTACAGTAACAAAGAAATTAAGCCTTAGGATGATTTCTGTACTTATAAAAAAAATAACAAAATCTTTTTTTTTAAAAAGATGCTTGGTACCAATAAGGCTGCATTCACACATGGGCATTTTGAATTGTGGGCTGAATCACCGTGACTCTGTCTGCGATTTCAAAACACTCTGCTAAAATGAAAAATCGCAGAACCACGTGTTTAAGTGCCATTAATTTTAATACCACCTGAAAATGCAGTGTAGTTCTGTTGTAATTGATGTGAGATAAATTGCACTGCAACTATGCAAACCGCAACGTGCGAAGCGTGTTGCCCAAAAAAAGTCCTGAACTTCTTTTGGGTGATACGCTTCACACAATGTGGTTTGCCATGATTGCAGCATGATTTATCATGCGTGTTGCGTTACACTATTTGATTTATTATTATTTCTCTGTGTCCATCACTTGTTTATTATTGCTCTGTGTCTTTAAGCTTTCTCCTTCTGTCTAAGCTGAGCTCTTTCTCTCACCGTACTTGTGTATATCCCTCCCCTCTGCTCTCTCTGTAGTCATTCCACTGTATCCTGTCTTCCTGAATGCATCTTTCCATGAGGCTTACAACATTAATGTTTTTCTACCTATGATTATCCTTCATTAAAAGGAACATTCAAATGGGTTTTCTCATCTTATTTCCTCAACATGTGAGTTTATTCATTGAGTTAAACTGTCTGACCCGATGCAAGAGAGATTCAACGCCACGTTGTTTAGCTGTATACATCACTGGAAATAAAGTTTATGGTCCTGTAGTCGAGTCAGAACAATGTGACAATTGCAACAAAACCACACACTGTTTTCAGGTGCCATTAAAAAGAATGGCACCTGAACATGTGGGTACTCAATTGTCAGTTTAGCAGAGTGTTTTTCAAAACACCCATGTGTGAATGCAGCCTAAACCATAAGAAAAAGTAAAACCAGCGCACATGTTCTTCAACAGTGATGAGCCAAACTGCCCTGGTTTCTATTTGACCTGATTCAAAGAAGTTTGAATGCCCAACCTGAACCCCATTGAAATGGGAACCGAATCTGTGAAATTAAAATGCCCATTGTCTGGGGGTTTCATATGGGATGTCATTATATTAGTATTTGGGGACATTTTCTTTCCGTTTTATACAGTCAGGTCCATAAATATTATTATTTTTTTCTGAATTTCATTGCTATAAGCAAGCATTTTATTGAATGAAATTGATTAATTCAGTTTGTTTTGTTGTGATTAGCTGTGATTGGCCACAGTTAACCACATGACACAGATGGGTTGTGATTGGTCCAGTCTGTTCCCTGTGATCACTGTGACCAATCACAGCTAGCAACACAACGGTATACAATGGATGGCATGAAAGGAAGCTGTCCATTGTTTACAATTGTCATGTGACCTAATGTGAGTGGTCAATTAGCCGGAGACAGATCTCATGGCAGCTTGGCGGTGATCCGGAAGAACATCATATGACAATTGCCCAGATCAAGGAAAAGAACCGCTTGGCCATCATTTTACTATAGGCTGGGTGGGAACTGGTAAAAAAAAAAACAGCACACAGACCCCTGTGTGCTTTTTTTTAAAAGAAGCCAACAATGAGATGTAATTTCCTGTCAATCTAAATTGTATCATGTATTTTTTTGCATATATCACTTTTGCTGTAGTACATGCTACAGTAAGAATAAAATAATGATATAATGAAAAACAAATTGCATATAACTCCCCCCCCCCCAATGCATTTTAGAACCTGTACATCTGGTATAGATTTTAAGGGGTTACCCCAGGCAAAAAAAATGTGTGAGGTCCCCCAGGAAATCCATAGCGGACCTTTGGGTCTGATAAAAATTTTAAGGGGGCCTCACTAAACACATTCACATGAGGGGGAGGGTATCTAGGTGCCCAATATTGGTAAAGGGGATTCTAGATTATGATAAGCCCCCACCCCCAGACCCCCCACATCAATGTTGGGAAGAGGCCCCCATCCTCATCAACATGGGGACTAAGTGCTTTGCGAGAGGGTCCCTTGGCATAGTATTATTCAGAAAGGAGGGCATCCTTGCCCCCCCCCTCAACCTTTCATGGCCTGCCAGGCTGCATGCTCAAATTAAGGGTCTGAAATGAAGATTTAGGGGGGTCCTACACATCTTTCTTTTTTGTTCCAACTCTCCATTAAAATCTGTATAGGACTAGAAGGGTCTGGTATGGATTTTCTGTGGATTCATGCATTATTTTTTTTTTTTTTGTGGGGCAATCCCTCAAAATCCATTTCAGTATACATTATGTTGGTGACAGACACTAAAGCTGACCACAGATGGATTGAAATTTATCTAGCTCTTCAAGGACTGGCCACATTTTGATCAGTGTGTTGCCATCCCTACTCAAAAAAAAAGTTGAACATCTGATCAACTTCTGTCACAGGAGAATGTTGGAAAACCTTTCTCAGTCAGTGAATGCAGCTGCTGATCTGTGTAATCAAGCATCAGCCGGAGCCACTGTCAAAATACAATGCCTCAGCAGTGAGGACTCTTCCATCCATCTATTGCGTTAATGGAAAAGTCTTGTAGTTCTTTTTTTTTTTTTCAGCCAGCAAGCTGAATGAAGAAAAAAATTACCATCTTTGGCAGTTTTACAATTTCTTTTTCTTCCCCTATCCTACTCTCCTAGTCACTGATTGCATGTGTACTGATGCCAAGTGCGCAAACTGTGCCTTTCAGTATCTTCACCTCGAGACTCATGGGCTAATTTATAATGGAGAATGGATATCACTATTCACTCTCTGTTATGCACCTCTCAATTACACACGCTGTGGCTGATCGTATTCATAGAAATAAGCTCACTGTACGTAGCCGTTGAAGCCCACCAATGAAGCAGGAAGAGCCCCTTGATTGGAAGAGAGCTACTCGTGTTTTTATGCAAACATTTATTAATTTACTATGTGCTACTATTGCTTTTCAGACAGAACCCAATAGCTATGGGTGTTATAATTATTATGTTGTTATTATTATGTGTATTTTATAGTATTTATATTATATATGTATGTCATGTTATTTCTTTAACATAATAATGCTATTTCAAGAGCTCAAAGTGCAATTTTTTGGCCTCAGTCCATATTTTTTTTGCCAGCTGCTCATGGTGGGGGGAAGTTCAGCTTGATAAAGTTTCCATGACTGTGTATTCCCATGACTAAGTATTCCCATCTCAACACTGCAACTCTGCACTCTGGGAATACAGCTAAGAACATCTGTGTTTCCAAGCTCCCATTGAAGCTGCATGTTTTTTATTGGATGCTTGAACTAAACCGCTGTTGGTATGTTATACGTATTTTAAAAAAGCAGTCATAAGGAGCCTTAGCTCTATTAGCAAAGTATATGTGTCTATAGTTCATAATCTAAAAACATTGGTATAACCAATATTAGCTGTAGCAAAAATGTACTACCTGAAAAAAAACTCCACATTTGCTGCTGATACAGTTGTGCTCAAAAGTTTGCATACCCTGTCAGAAACCGTAACATTTTGGCATTGATATTGAAAATATAACTAATCATGCCAAAAACTGTATGTTATTTAACCACTTGCTAACTGGGCACTTTTAACCTTTGAATGACAATTGCGCGGTCATGCAACACTTTACCCAAACAAAATTGTTACCATTTTTTTGAGAAAGATAGAACTTTCTTTTGGTGGTATTTAATCACCACTGGGGTTTTTATTTTTTGCTAAACAAACTGATGTGCGCTAATAAGGCTGCAGTGATGGGCACTGATGGGCAGCACTGATAGGTACTGACAGGCATCATTGATGGACACTGAAAGGCAGCACTGATGGGCACTGATATGTGGCACTGATGGGCGGCAATGATGGGCACTGATAGGTGGCACTGATTGGCACTGATAGGTGGCACTGATGAGGAGGCACTGATGGGCATTGACAGGCATCACTGATGGGCACTGATAGGCGGCACTGACTGATAGTGATACTTGGCACTGACTGGAACTATTAGGCGGGACTAACTGGCACTGATTGGCGGCACGATAGGCATCACTGACTGGCACTGAAAGGCAGCTCTGATGTGCACTGATATGTGGCATTGATATGCACTGATGGGCACTGATATGTAGCACTGATGTGCACTGATGGGCACTGATATGTAGCATTGATGGGCACTCACAGGTGGCAATTATGGGCACTGAAAGGAAGCACTGATCATCAGAGCACTGATGATCAGTGCCCTGATTATCAGTGTAGATGTCCCCTCTGAGAAATGCTGCTTTCTGGCTCTCCTCTTCTCACGCACTGTCAGTATGAGGAAAGGAGAGCTGATAACTGGCATTTCCTATTTACATGTGATCAGCTGTGATTGGACACAGCTGATCACATGATATAACTTGTGTCATCAGCTCTTTACTGTGAACGGTGATCCCCTGTGCGCCAGGGACACAGCGCACCGCCAATCGCCGCACGCCCCCAGGGACGCCCAAGCGCAGCTAGAGAGGGAGCATGTCATATGACATCCTCCCAGAACGAGAGAGCACCACCGGCCTGTCATTTCTTTTTATGGCAGGCGGGAGGCAGTTAAGGATAGTAATCATATGAAGCCATTTATTATCACATGTTTGGCTCATAATGATAACAGAAATCCCCCAAATGGCCCGGATCAAAAGTTTACATCCCCTGGAATGTTTGGCCTTGGTACAGACACACAAGGTGGCACACAGGTTACATTGACAATTAAAGGTTAATTTCCTACATCTACCTACAAAAAGAGCCTGGTTACAATATGCCCGACAACACCTTGATATGCCTCACCAGGCTTTTTTTATGATATTGGTGCAGTAAAGGCTTCTCTCGGGCAGCTCAACCATGCAGCTCATTTTGGTTCAACATTTGTCATACTGTGCTCCTTAAAAACAATGCTATGTAGAATCTTGAACTGTATCAATCTACGTATCCCTTGCCAACACTAACTGAAGGAAGGGCTATTTGCAAACCTCCTCTCATCCTTCACCCTCCAGGTCCAGCACCTCCTCCCACCACTTGGATTGCAGGGACTACAAACTTTTCTGGGGAGGTTGAAGAGCACAGAGATGTGTACTGGAGAGGGGAAAGATGTGCACTCGGTTGTTGGAGGGGAGAGATGTGCACTGGGGGGAGGGGGGTGACAGAGATGTGTATTGTGGTGCAGAAGTGTGTACTGAAGGGGCAGAGATGTGTACTGAGAAGTTTGGGGGGGGTAGAGATTTGGACTGGAGGGAAGAGAGATGTGCACTGGAGGGTTGGAGGGGGGAGATGTAGGCTGGGGAGGAGGGGATTGGAGGGGAGAGATGTGCTTTTGAGGAGTTTGGAGGGTGCAGACAGAAAAGTGTATCGGGGGATTGGAGAGAGCAGAGATGTGTACAGGGCGAGGGGAGAGATGTGCATAGGGAGTGTTGAAGGGGAAAGATGTGCATTGGGCTGCTTGGAAGGGAGAGAAAATGTGTGCTTGGGAGTTTGAGGGGGGTGAGATGTGTCCTGCGGTGGGTTGGATGTAGAAGACTTGCGCTTTGTGTGTTATTTACTCCTGACCCCTGCAGTCTGTGCTTAAGCACTACCGACCACAGTACTCTGTGTGATGCATACTCTTGACCTCTCTACACTCTCTGTGTTACATACTCATGAACCCCACACTATCTGCAGCACACATTCTACACTCTGTGTGTTACATACTTTTGACTCCTGTTCTCTGCATCTGTACAGGGGTGGGTTGGAGGGGGAGACCTGAATTCTGTGTGTCACATACTTCTAACCCCTGCACTCTGAACATTAAGCACTACTGCTCCCTGTACTCTGTGTGATATATACTCCTGATGTCTGCACTCTGTTTGTTACATACGCCAAACCCCTCCCCTCTTTTGGGTACACACATTGCTCCTGCCCTCCATGCATTACCTACTCCTATGACTCGCACTCTGAACATTAAACACTACTGAGCCTTGTTTGCTATGTGATACACAGTGCTGACCTCTGCACTCTGTGCCCTATACACGCCCAAACCCTACACTCTGTCTGCGGCACATATACATTACCCCTGTACTCTTCACATTACATACTGACCCTTTCACTCTGCTACCTGCTCTAGATCCCTGCGCTTTGTGCACAGCATACTCCTGATCCCTTTGCTCTATTTGTTGTCTATTTGTTTGCACTGGATCCCTGCACTTTGTCCTTATTCCTTCACTCTGTGTGCTATTTACTCTGGACCCCTGCACTCTGTATGGGACATACTCTGACCCCCACACTCTACAGCACAAATGCATTATCCCTGTTCTCTGTGTGTTACATACATCTAAACCCCTCGTCACTGCATTACCTACTACTGACTCTTGCGCTCTATATACACTATGTTGTAAATTTTTCTCTCCCAACCCTTACACTCAGTACATTATATACACTTGACCCTATCAATAGATAGAGGGATGAATGTAGTCACTGATTACTTTAATGAAGTTACCTTTTAAGATAGTCTGTATGCAGAAACACATCTGTAATAGAAGAGTTTTATTTTTTAAAATTGGTTGTGCTGATGTTTATGTCGTATGTGTGACTCTCACTTGTGAAACAGTAATGAAAAGCATATATAGTATTGTGAGTACAAGGATTGTGGCATTTGTTACACCCTTTCCACAGTAAGTACGATTTGGCCACACTTAACATCCGGCTACTCGCACTGCTCACTCTCCCTCTTTTGAGTGCTTCAAGGTGCCCTTGGTCAGTCCTGGCAAAGCCCCCTTAGTAACAGGAAGTGTTTCTTTCTCCACTGATAGTGATGTTTAATGCTGATGCTTGATAGAGCTAAAAAAAAAACCCATGTGTAGTACACATAGATCCTTATGAAGGAAAGAAACATTCAAGAGCTGCTGGGACTTTGATGTGAGTTCATATACAAAATAGTGAGAGGACAAAAACATTCAGAGAGCTCACTGGCTCGGGTTCAGTTGCTCACAACAGACAGGGTTACCCTCCAGTGGGTATCCAGCAGGTTACCAGAAAAAATATGAATGAAAGGAGCTCCAGACCAAAGGACAAAAGAATCCAAATAATTTATTGGTTAAATTATTCAGTTAAAATAAGAACCTTAAATGGACTCAAAATTGAGCAATTAAGCAAAATCGAGCAATTGTGTGAGCAATCCGGCCAGTAACCCTGTGGATTAACCATTTAGTCTCCCTATACAGATTCACACAAGAAATCCCTGTTTTGAGTCCATTCACGGATCTTATTTTGACTGAAGCCCCAATGAAGGGTGAGTTTTATTTACTCCTGAAACACATTGGCTGATTTCTTTAGTGTAAACCAATAAATACATTTGGAATCAACTATCCTTTGGTCTGGGACTTCTTCCATTTCTGCACACAGACACAAGATTTTCTGGTACCCACCACCATACTGAGCATGAAAACAGAATTACTTAGGACTGATGACTTTGGAGTTCACCGAATGGAGATTGGTGAACATGAGATTGATGTTTACCAATCTTGCCACGCACCATCCAGAAGGTGTAAGATGGAGCGACACTGTTCTGTTACACAAGAAAGGATGAACCACCAAGAGATCAGATACAGTGTTTCACACAACCATGTTCCAAATTTTCAGGTTTGTAGCCTCCCAAATCACTTCTACAGATACCTCTGACTGAAATTTAACCACTTGCCGACCAGCCACTGTAGAAATACGGTGGTAGGTCGGCACGGCTGCGGAAAACCACGTTTTAAAACATTCTTGTGCAAAACAGGTAGGGGGCACGCGCGAGGCGCGCCACCACCCTACCTACGCCGCCAATCAGGGCCGCGGGTGTCAGTTGCCGGGTCACGGCCTACCGTGTCCCAGCGATTAGTGGCAATCACTGATAGAGAGGACGGCTGCAGTGTTTACACTGCAGCTGTGCTTTCTGTCAGTTCCCTGTCAGCTCCTGACATGCTGATCCGGAGAGAAGACTTTTTCTCTCAGGATCAGCATGTTCCGGTGCAGTACACACCTCCGCCCCCTAGTAAAACACTCCCCTCACACAGTTAACCCATTCAGTGAATAAAAAGGTTAACCCCTTCCTCCCCAGTGCCATTAGTCCAGTGTCATAGTTTATTTTTTTTGTAAATGTCATAACTGAAACAATGTATTTTTTTAGTGTCACTTTTGGGAAATTTCAGTAAATTTGATTTTTACAAGTCATGTTTTATAACCCCCTCAGTTGTCAGCCTTTGTTTTTTAAAAAAAAACGCACAGGTGATCAAATAACACTGAAAGAAAGCTCAATTTGTGGGAAAAAAAAGTATGTAAATTTCATTTATGTACCGTATTGCATGACCACGCAATTGTCCGTTAAACTAGCGCAGCGCTGTATAGCAAAAAAATGGCGTAAATTAGTATCTAACCATAGTTTGTAGACGTTATAACTTTCACAAAAGCAATCAATATACACTTATTGGAATTTTTTTTTACCAAAAACATGTAGCAGAATACATTGTGGCCTAAATTTATAACTAAATTTGAGTTTACTATATATGTTTTTATAGCTGAAAGTAAAAAAATAATTTTTCTTCAACATTTTTGGTTTTTTTTTTTAGCAAAATAAAAAGCGACAGGTGTCAAATACACCAAAAGAAACTTTATTTTGTGAAAAAAAAGGGCGTAAATTTAAACTGCAGCATTGCATGACTGCGCAATTATCAGTTGAATTAGTGCAGCGCCGAGTAGCAAAAAGAGGCCTGGTCATTAAGGGGGGTAAATCCTCAGGAGGGCAAGTGGTTAAGCAGCAAATTAATTTTTTACATTTTTATTTCATTTTTCATATTTTACTATTTGCCTGTCACTGAATATTACATACAGTTGCAAGAAAAAGTATGTGAACCCCTTTTACGTTTTTGCATGAATTGTGGCATAAAATGTGCTTTCATCTAAGTCACAACAATAGAAGAACACAGTCTGCTGAACAAATAACACAAACGAAAGTTGCCAAAGCACATAACAATAAACATTCACAGTGCAGGGAGGAAAAAGTATGTGATGTAAACTTTCATTTATTGTACCAGTAGTGAGCAACCTTGACTCCAATCAGTGTGATGATATTGGATGTGTTGCTGACAGCTGTCCTAAAAAACACACACTGTAGGGTTTACTGCAAGAAGCACTGTCTGATGTGAACCAAAAATGGCTCTCAGAAGACCTACGATCAAGAATTGTTGACTTGCATAAGCTGGAAAGGTTACAAAAGTATCTCCAAAAGCCTTGATGTTCATGTGTCCACGTAAGCAGACTGTCACAAATGGAGAAAGTTTAGCACTTTGCTACTCTCCCTAGGCGTTTTTTTCCTGTAAAAACAGCAAGAGCACAGCGCAGAATACTGCATTGTAAAGAAGCCCAAGTTTATAGACTACAGAAATGGCACATGTTAACATATTTGTTGACACATCTACAATTTTGGAGTACATGGGAGGACACCACGGAGGAAGCCATTGCTGTCCAAAAAAATATAGCACGATTGAAGTTTGCAAAAGAGCACCTGGATGTTCCACAGCACTACTGGCAAAATATACTGTGGACAGATGAAACCAAGATTGAGTTGTTATGTGTGGAGAAAAAAAGGCACAGCACACCAACATCAAAACCTCATCCCCACTGTAAAACATGGCGGAGGGAGCATCATGGTTTGGGGCTGCTTTGCTGCCTCAGGGCCTGGACGGATTGTTGTCATTGATGGGAAAGACATTTTGCAGGAAAACGTACGACCATCTGTCCGCCAACTGAAGCGCTGCAGAGGATGGGTGATGCAACAGGACAATGACCCAAAGCATACAAGTAATTCAACAAAACAATGTGCAAAAAGAATACGCCTTCTGGAGTGGCCCAAAGTCCTGACCTCAACCTGATTTGCTGTGCATGACCTTAAGCATTCACACCGCGCATCCCAATTATCAGTTGAATTTTGTGAAGCGCCGAGTGGTCAAAACTCCAGATTGTTGCAGGTCTGATCTGCAACTCATAAAGGGAGGTAAATTGCTGCCAAAGGAGGGTCAACCAGTTTTTAAGTCCAAAGGTTCACATACTTTTTCCTCCCTGCACTGTGAATGTTTACATTTATGTGCAATTAAACCATGGCAACATCTAATGTTTTGTAGTATTATGTTCAGCAGATTTGTTCTTCTATTTTTGACTTAGATGACGTTCAGAGCACATTTTATGCCTGTCATGCACTCCACGAATATTACATACTCAACTGTACTCATTGCACAGGGTTATAGTAGTTGACAAATTTGCCAAAGATGTCGTGCACCGAAAAAAGTGAAGCTATAATAGATGAATGAAGAAGTAAAAATGTGCCAAATTACTTCCAACTAAAAACCTGTGTTATGATGTGTAACTAATTTATATTCATCTATCTGGTGCATTCTGTTTGATGTAAAATAAATAATATTAGGGAGATATAGAGAGCTCGGTTAGCTACTATAACATTTCAGTTGACATGTTAAAGCCTAAATTTAGTTTTAGAAAAAAAAAACAAGGGACACTTACATTTACTGAGACTAGTTCCTTGTGCTGGGTCAGACTGTCCTAGTTGATCAGTCCTCTGTTCCCCCGTCCCCCCACAGCTGTAATCTTCCAATGATGCAAGGGTTAATAAGAGCGCTGGACTTGTCACAGACACTTATCAACAGTAGAAACTATGCCAGAGCATACTGCCCCTTTCTCCATTCATAGAAGCTGTACTATAGCTTTAATGTATGAAAAGTGCTCTATGAAGGGCACAGGACTTTTCATTCATCTGCCCGTCCTCCATTCCTAGATCACTTTTTATTGATTACATGTCATAATAATAACCCCAGAGCATTGGAAGATTACAGCTGCAGGGGTTTAGGGGAACAGAGGACCTTGGATTTCAACTGGAATATGCGGCACTAGCAAAAGGAACATTCCTTGTGCTGATTAAAGGAAAATATCTAAACTTAGGCTTTAAAGGAAACCTACTTTCAATAAAAGAATATTTGAACATGCCACGGTTTATTGATTGGACAAAGTAATGTTTAACCACTTGAGCTCAGGAAGGTTTTACCCTCTTCATGGCCAGGTTTTTTTTTGCTATTTAGATGACGAAAAAAGGCTCTGGACAGCATCTGGATATGGAACAGTTAAAAAACGCTTCTAAATGCAAACACTTATAAATGCGGTTAACCGCGTTTACACGCATTTACAAGTGTTTGGCATTTGAAACGCTGGTAAAATCTACTCCTGAACACAAGTTTGGTGCGTTCAAAAAAATGACTGTAAACTCAACTGCCTGTAAACGACCGTAAACGACTATGTGTACATGGACACATAGGAAAACATTAGGGAGAGTTCAGGGGCCGCTGAAAAAAACACTGAACAGCTCCAGTCTGTCAGAGTATAGAAAAATATTTTTTTACAGTCTCCAGGTACAGAGCAGCTTTAATCTTTTTTTGCTAAATTGCCACAGATTTATGTGCCTACTGCCAACATCCCAAAAGACTATGTATATTTTGTTTTTTTATTAATTTGTTATTCATTTTTGTTGTACAAATGGATTCATTACTCTGTTAGGATGACATATTTTGCATAATTATGTTGTAAACAATTATTTGTATAAATGAATAATAATTTTACTTACTTACTAATGAGCTCATTTATATCATTTCAGGTCTTATTTTGTTATTTTACCTTTTACTTTATGCATTTCTAACTGGGATGTTTGCTTTATGTATATATGGATTGCTTGCAACAATAAGCCCATACGTACCAACATACAGAGAGAGAGTCTTCCCACCAGGTAAGTAATTGATTTCTTTACATATAACCCCAGCTTGCACGATTTGTTCCTCTTTACTTCTCTTTTTGCTCCTAAAGTCTGCCCTCAACTGCCTAGAGCCTGTACAGCATATTTAGACATATTCAGTAAGGTAGAGTGCAAAAGGCAAAGCATCCTAACCTATTGCAAGCAAGAAGAATTAATCTTTAACAGTTCTGGACTCAGTAAAATCAGTAATCTGAATTACAATTGGTCACCATGTCTTATTCAACTTTGCACACCATAAAAACAGTATGCCATAAAAGTCAAAGTCCATTGTGCTGTGTTGGGGTACAAAATTTGTGGTATGTCCAATACACAGTTGGATGTAAGCAAAACGTCTGACATGTAAGCAAAACAATATATGCTTGTAGTATATCACCAGTTTGACCCCTTGAACCACATGTCTAGTCCATTTTTCAGTTTTCAGACCTGGGATGCTTTGACTATGAATTACTCGGGTATGCTACACTATATCCAGGCCCGGATTGGGACAAAAAAAAAGGCCCGGGACCTTTGGACTGAGCAGCCCAAAGCCCGGGGACCCTTTCCTCGGAGCCCGGTGGTAGAACACCAGGGCCTGGTTGTAAGAGCAACCTTTGCAACCCTGCTAGTGTCAGTAGGTTTTTATTTTTACAATTTTATATTTTATTTTGAGTTTTTTAGTAGGAGAGGAGGAGGGAAAGAAAGGAAGGAGAGAAGGAGGGAAAAGAAGGAGAGAAACAAAGGAAGGAGGGAAAGAAAGAAAGAAAGAAAGGAAGGAGAGAAGGAGGGAAACGAAGGAGAGAAAGAAAGGAAGAAAGGAAAGAAGGAGGGAAAGGAAGGAGAGAAAGAAAGGAAGAAGAGAAGGAGGGAAAGGAAGGAGAAAAAGAAACAAAGGAAAAAAAGGAAAGAAAGGAAGGAGGGAGGGAAAGAAAGAAAGGAAGGAGGGAAAGAAAGGAAGGAAGGAACGAGGTAAAGAAAGAGAAAAAGAAAGGAAAGAAGGAGGGAAAGAAAGGAAGGAGGGAGAGAGAAAAAAAGGAAGGTGGGAAAGAAAGGAAGGAAGGTGAGAAGGAAAAGAAGGAAGGAGGAAAAGAAAAGAAGGAAGGAGGAAAAGAAAGGAAGGAAGGAGGGAAAGAAAGAAAGGAAGGAAAGAGGGAAAGAAAGAGAGAGAGAGAAAGGAAGGAGGGAAATAAAGAAAGAGAGAGAAAGGAGGGAGGTAAAGAAAGGAGGGAGGTAAAGAAAGGAAGGAGGGAAAGGGAAAGAAAAAGAAAGAAAGAAAGAAAGAAAGAAAGAAAGAAAGAAAGAAAGAAAGAAAGAAAGAAAAAGGAGAAAGAAAGAAAGAAAGAAGAAAGAAAGAAAGAAAGAAAGAAAGAAAGAAAGACGAATGAAAGAAAGGAGACAAACAGGAGACAGAGAGTGAGAGAAAGGAGAAACAGAAGAGGCAGAGAGAGAGAGAGAAAAAGAAAGAAAGAAAGAAAGGAGAGAAACAGGAGACAGAGAGAGAGAAAGAGAGAAGGGTGGAGAGGAAACACAAGGCTGGCGGGGCAGACAAATGAGGAGAAGGCGGGATGAGGACGGGCATAACCAGCTGTGTCATTCCTCTCCCGTCTGTGGTGTGCGGGGAACTGTCAGCATCGGGCACAGATTATGCTGACAGATCCCCCGCAGTGCTAGAGGAGATGAGGGAGGGAGGGGGGAAGCGGCTTGCAGGGGAGCATACAGGAGCTGACCGTTTGCAGGAGATGGATAGGAGAGATGGCTGGGTGGCACATAGAGGAACCTAGAAATGCACGGTCCTCTACGTACCGCTCGGTACAAGTGCCCAGTGTGCCCCATGGCCAGTCCGGTCCTGACTGTTCCGAAATTAATTTTCTATAATTTTTTTTAAACAGATACAGCACTCTTTTAGTGGTATTTCATTGCCTTTGTTTTGAATTTTTTACTATGTAAACAAATTTAGGCCAAAATGTATTCTTCTACATTTCATTGGTAAAAATAACCCAAACCAGTGTATATTATTTTCCGTGTGTGAAATTGAGTCTAAAAACATTGGTATATATATTTTAAATGTATCAACTCTCATATCCAAATGGCCTCTCATTTCTTGGGGCCCTAAAGTGCCCGTTTATGGAAAGTAGACAGTCCAATGTATTTAGTAAGAGGATGCTGAGTTGTAATTTTTTTTGTCACAATTTGTTGGAAATGGAAGAAAGTAAATAAAGTAAGTTATTTCTCACACATGGCATCTGCATGCCAACAATTACACTCCAGAACACATTCTTGAATGCCTCCCAAGTATGAGGGCAACACATATGTGAAACCTTTTTTCTGCAGAGATACATAGCGGGGTCCAAAATCCAATGAACACCTTCCAAGGGGCATACATTTTCAAAGGGCAAAAGACTTTCAAGGGGCATATTTTGTATCTGATTTCCTGACTACATATCATGTTTGTGTGTCTCTTCAAAACCACACCCTCTGACAAATTTTGCTTTGCCCTCTGGGGTTTAGTCATAAGTGGCCCTTTGGTGGACGAGACAAAACGTGTCATCGGGGGGGGGGCAAGGTTTTGGTGGAGACTCACAGGTTGTGGTCACCTTTCATTTTCTGTTTACATGGGCTGATGAGGAATGCAGCTTTCTTTCAATTCACATTAAGAAGCGTTCTTGAACACATGGAACGCCAGTACCCTGTCTCTCTGAGCATCCAGGGAAGGAGTCCCCTTCGGCTTAAGCAGTGACACAATCTTTGTTTATCATGTTTCTTGAGGCCCTAAAGTGCCAGGACAAGACAAACACCCAAAAAATTACCCCATTTTACAAAGTAGATGCTCCAATTTATTAAATTAGAGGCATGTTGAGCCTTTTTCAGAACACATTTTTTGCCACAAGTTTTTGGAAAATGCATTTTTTTACATACAACTGTAATTTAAAATGATATTTCTACCAAACAACATGGGCATACCTACAATTACACCCCAAAACACATTCTGCTGCGAGTATGGGGATTCCACATATTTGAGACCTTTTTGGAGCCTAACTGCAGAGGGGCCCAAAATAGAAAGAGCACCTTCAGGCTTGCAAGGGGCATAAATCATACATCTGATTTTCTGATTACCTATCACATTTTGGAGGCCCTGGAGCACCACGACAGTAGATACACCCGCAAAACACACAACAAGGTATTTTTAGGAGACATGGTGAGTCTTTTAAACATTTCTTTTTTTTTTGCCGTACGTTTTTGGAAAATGCATATAGAAAACAAAACATTTTTTTTTTTTTTTTTTATATACAAAGTTGTCAATTTAATAAGATAGTTCTAACTCAGAACAAGGGCATACTTAGAATTCATACCAAAATTTGCTTTCTGCTACTCCTCCAGAGTCTGGGGATACCACAGGTGTAAGACTTTTTCAATCTTTGGACTGATTATCTACCAGACATTGGTGGAGAAGTACTAAAACTGGTGCACACAAAATATGGTGGTAAAGTGATAGTAAACCCATTTTTTAAATTTTAACTACAGGTAAGCTTATAATAAAGATTACCTGTAGGTAAAATGAACATCTCCTAAACGTGCACAGCTTAGGAGATATTCTCTCTTTCCTAAAGCCGGCACATGCACTCTGAAGGAACGGCATACACATGACATTCCTTCAGAGCTGTGTGACATGGCCCGGGACTCCCGCGCGCTTTCACGGGAGTGATATCATCGCGGCCCGGCCTGTCAGACGGCCGGAGATCACGAACCTGGAGGAAGGACCGGGTGAAGATGGAAGCCTCTGCAGCGATGACAGCGTGCCACTGGAGGGCTTTGTTTTAAGGTGAGTTTTACATAATGTGCTAGTATCCAATGCATATTATGACATTACATTGCAGGTGACTTTTTTTTTTTTCTTTGTTGCAGTTTACTATCGCTTTAATAACCAATCAACTTCTAACTTCAGCTTTTTCAATTAAGCTTTGACAATAAAACCTAGAATCTGATTGGTTACTAGAAAAAAATGATTTCCAGAGGGGAATGCTCTGTTTATAGCTAGACTCTATATATAGCGTTGTCCTCGCCTCATAATAATTCATCTTCCTAGGTGTCCTGTTATACTAGCTGTGATGTCGGACAAGGCGCCCCCCCTCTTGGTGCACAGCTGCCTGAAACCACAGCTAGGAGGAGATGGCTGCTTTGAAAGCAAGCACCTATCTCCACCTTCTTGCCTGAGGCAATCACCAGCAAGAAGAATGCTGAGGAAGGTGGGGCATTGAACCCTTTCACAATTGCTGCCTCCTCCCAGATGTTTTGCTGAGCAATACGCTATCAAGGAGGTGTTTAATAAAAGTCGATCATTCCAAACAGGGACCCAGCTATTCTTGGTTATACACTGTTATATATATTTATAAACACACTGACCATTTCTTAGGGCCAGTTCACACCACAAAAACGCACTCTGGATGCATTCTGGATACGTTTTTGCTTACAGTTCACACCACACTCCGTTCCGGTGCAGATTTGATGCAGTTTGCCATGTTCCAGTATAGTTCTGTGCAGAAAAAAATGCAACATGTTCTACTTGTTTTTCTGCACCGGAAACTGACTGGAACTGACTGGACTGGTGTGAACTAGGGCCATTGGAATACCTAGAAAACACTGTGCATGCATTTTTGATGCAGAAACAAGATGCACTGGTTCTTATACTCTCTGGCAGGCCCTATCCTGAAACCTGCTTTTGCTTTCCTGTTCATTTCCTATAACTTGGGGGTATGGACCAAGGATACGACTAAAGCACCTGAGTTGATTTTAACCAATCCTTTGGTTCCAAACTAGTTGGAGCTCTTACCTGTTACCCTACATTTCTGTGCAGGTAGGCTTGTGGATATTGTAAACAACAATAATGGGAATCCTGCTTTGTTGAAGGAGGAAAATGTATTTCAGTTTGCATCCTAGCCTGCAACTGTATGTCCTGTGGTCAACTTGTACAATAAACTGTAATGTACATGTATCTCAAT